CCTTCCTTCCTTCCTTCCTTCCTTCCTTCCTTCCTTCCTTCCTGCCTGCCTGCCTCCATCCTCTCCAAAATGCTCAGGGAGGAACAGCTGAGAGCTTACACCCTGTTGTGGGCCTAGGTCTGCTAAAAGTTCTGCTGAGGCAGGAGCCAGAAAGGTGCTGGGGGCAGCTCAAGGACAGAGTAGACTTACGAGTGCGGTCCTTCCCCTTTTCCCACCAGCGCACCCAGTGTGAGAATCTCTTGAAGTCAGCGGCCTTTGAGGACTGCCAGGCTGTTGTGCCAGTGGAGATGTACATCCTGGCCTGTATGCAGGACCTGTGTCAGTGTGAGAAGAGCACCTCCTTCTGCCTGTGCAGTACTGTCTCAGAGTTTTCCCGCCAGTGCTCACATGCTGGAGGCCGGCCCCGCACCTGGAGGACGGACACATTCTGCAGTAAGTGTCCATGGAGGGCCAGGGCTGGGGCCGTGGGAGAGCCCTTCACGAGCACTGGCTGAGCAATCTCTACTGCCCGAGGTGGGAGAGCTGGGGCAGCTGTCCATTCTCTGGACAGTGTCTCTGTGTCTCGGAGATGGTGAAGACAGCTGGCCTCACTCTTCGTGGCCAACAATTCCCCTTTGGCCTGTGAAGGGCCCAGTCTGGCTGTCTACATCAGGCAGTACAGGTGTGGGGATGAGAGCCCACTCTCCCATGTTGTAGTCGTCCCAGGTGTGGCTCAGGCACTCCATGGGCTCTGGGGGTCTCCCCAGCTGAAGGGCCAGCGGCTCCTCTGATGGCTCAGTCAGACTCTTCCCTTCGTTTCTGCTCCCCAATTGCTCTCCTCCAACCTGCCTGACCCCGGACCAGATCCCCGCCCTCAAGGCATGGCAGAGAAGCATGCCCATGAGAAGATGCTTTGTAGAGGGTCCAGGGGGAGCCCTGACCTCTCTGCTGCTCCCAGGAACAATCCTTGATCCTGGCCCCGCTGCTGCTGCTCCCTAAATATCAACTTCTGTCCTTCCCAGTGGGAAGAGTGATGACTATTCTACTCTCCCCTCTCTCTTTTGTCTCTGGAGGGAAGCTTAGAGCACTGAGCTGGGTCTGGAGGGGGAGGGGACCTAGAACTGGCCTAGAGGGAAACTGATACCTCTGGTAGAGGGAGAAGAAAGGGACTAGAATGGACAGATGGGAATTGTATCCCTGACTTTGGCCTCTTTGGAGGAAACATTCCTTGGTCTTTGTTTCTGACTGGGTAAATCCACAGGGTCATTTTCTTAACCAGTCAGGTTTTCCCGGGGAGGGCCTCAAGTGAGTAATACGTAGGCATTTTTGGTGAATTCCCAGGGTGGCAGGGAGGGAAAGGGGCAGAGGTTTAGTGCTATCCATGGTCCTTACACCAAGACCCCTGTGGGTGGGCTGGCAGTGGGCCAGCCTTGGAGGACCAGCAGAGAAGGTTTCTGGGAAAGAGGTGTGGCCTGTGACCCGAGAGCACTTTTCCAAGTGTGGGAGTTGACAGGCTTGTGTGGAGATGAGCTTGGCCTCATCAGCATCACGCCAGCTGGCTGAGCTGGCCATCCCAGACCAGCCTGGAGCTTCAGGGGAGATGTGACTTCTCAGACCCCAACTCCCGCCTGAGGCTTATTACCCAATTATGGAGACCTATACGCCATGACGGCTTCTTCCTTTGCCACGATCAGCCTCAGGAGCCTGTCATGTAGGGAGAGTCCCCAAGAATATGTCCATTGAGTTTCCCAAACTCATCAGGCCTTGTCTTTGTGCATTCCAGCCAAGACTTGCCCTGGTAACATGGTCTACCTGGAGAGTGGCTCCCCCTGCATGGACACCTGCTCCCACTTGGAGGTCAGCAGCCTCTGTGAGGAACACTACATGGATGGCTGCTTCTGCCCTGAGGGTAAGCAGCTCCCAGTGGGTGGGGCTCCTGGTACCCAGCCTCATCTTCTTCTGGCTGCTTCTGCCTGGAAGAGGCTGGCACTGAAGACATGGCACCCATTTGCTGGGAGTGTCCCTTCCAGGGCTATCCACACTGCTCCGGAGAGGCAGAGCCTGAATTCAGAGAATGAGGGAGGGACATTAAACAGCCCCCTCCTTCCATCCTTGAGTGCCCACTTGCTATAAAGAGAGAGAGAAATGCCTAACCTGTAAGCAGCAAGTCCTTGGCCCCCTACATCTGGGCTCCTGACTTTCCCATCACGAACAATTAGAGATTGGCATTCTAGCCAGAGACCATCAGCACCATTCCCTGAGTGCTTGGTATGCGCAGAGAACCTGGGCACTAGAGGTGATGGTGCTGGAGGAGGAACAGGGTGGGACAAAGTCCCAAGAGCTAAGATGCCTCCGCTGAGGGGCTGGCTCTCTCTCGGCAGTCCTGCAAAGCTCCCCTGAAGTCCCCTGGGGCAGGGCCTTCCGCAGAAGGGCCTCAGCTGCCCCTTGCCTGCTGGAGGCTTTGGGTTCAGCTCAGCCCTCTTCTCCCTTGCCCAGGAACTGTGTATGATGACATCACGGGCAAAGGCTGCATCCAGGTGAACCAGTGCAGCTGCAAACTGCGCGGACACCTCTATGCCCCGGGGAAGCAGATCACCAGCAACTGTGAAGAGTGGTAAGTACGACGTGGGGCTGCCCTTCCCGGGCTTGTTCCTCGGCCTCAGAGATGAGGGCCGGGGAGCAGAGGAAGAGGGGGGCCCAGGGTGTGGGAGTGATGGGTGCTGACTCTCCCTTCTGCCGTCTGTCTGTGCAGCGTCTGTAACGCTGGCCGGTGGGTGTGCGAGGACCTGTCCTGTCCTGGCACATGCGCCTTGGAAGGTGGAGCCCATATCACCACTTTTGATGGGAAGAAATACACCTTTCATGGAGACTGCTACTACATTCTGGCCAAGGTACCAAGGGAGTCCTGTGTGCCTGGGTGGGTGTGCAGCAGGTGACAGCTTGGAGTGGTCCGAGCACTTCATCCTTGCTCAGGGCCTGGAGAGGTCCAGCATGGGGCTGCCCACCTTTCAGCTACACAGAGCCTTGGGCACTCACCCTGGGAACCCCGGGAGCTGACAGGGCATGGGCCGCCCCAGAGCCAATGTAGGGCCCAGAGACCCCTCAGAGTAAGTCTGGGGGTCCTGAGGCTTTGGGCTCTGGGGTAACAGGTGGAACCTTCCTTCCTCAAAGTCTGTGGGCAGGAGTTCGGTCCACATTTATTCAGTCTAACAATGTGATCTAGGTCAAATGAAAGAGCGTATGTAAAGCACTTTGCAAACCATACAGTGCTACACAAAGCTTACCTGTCACCCTCATTTTTATCCATCCATCCACCTATTTGTCTATCCACCCTTCTTTTTTTTCCTTTTTTTGGCTAGGCAATGGGGTTAAGTGACTTTCCCAGGGTCACCCAGCTAGTAAGTGTTATGTGTCTGAGGTTGGATTTGAACTCAGGTCCTCCTGAATCCAGGGCCAGTGCTGTATCAACTGCACCACCTAGCTGCCCCCTGTCTATCCATCCATCCATCCAT